AAAGAGAAGCTGAAAGAGCAGGAGGATGTCATGGAAGCACGTTTTCTGGAGCGACTAGAGGCTTGTAAAGGGAATGAAGGTTTAGTTGATGATGAAATGTTACAGCATGTGGAGAAGCTGAAGACTGAGAATGATCAGCTGCGAGAGGAGCTGCGTACTTTGCAGGAGGTCCACTCTGAGGAGATGGAGGAACTTGCACGGGAGGCTGCGGACCGTATTGCGGAGCACGATGAGTTGCTGAAAGAGAAGCTGAAAGAGAAGGAGGATGCCATGGAAGCACGTTTTCTGGAGCGACTAGAGGCTTGTAAAGGGAATGAAGGTTTAGTTGATGATGAAATGTTACAGCATGTGGAGAAGCTGAAGACTGAGAATGATCAGCTGCGAGAGGAGCTGCGTACTGTGCAGGAGGGCCACTCTGAGGAGATGGAGGAACTTGCACGGGAGGCTGCGGACCGTATTGCGGAGCACGATGAGTTGCTGAAAGAGAAGCTGAAAGAGCAGGAGGATGTCATGGAAGCACGTTTTCTGGAGCGACTAGAGGCTTGTAAAGGGAATGAAGGTTTAGTTGATGATGAAATGTTACAGCATGTGGAGAAGCTGAAGACTGAGAATGATCAGCTGCGAGAGGAGCTGCGTACTTTGCAGGAGGTCCACTCTGAGGAGATGGAGGAACTTGCACGGGAGGCTGCGGACCGTATTGCGGAGCACGATGAGTTGCTGAAAGAGAAGCTGAAAGAGCAGGAGGATGTCATGGAAGCACGTTTTCTGGAGCGACTAGAGGCTTGTGAAGGGAATGAAGGTTTAGTTGATGATGAAATGTTACAGCATGTGGAGAAGCTGAAGACTGAGAATGATCAGCTGCGAGAGGAGCTGCGTACTTTGCAGGAGGTCCACTCTGAGGAGATGGAGGAACTTGCACGGGAGGCTGCGGACCGTATTGCGGAGCACGATGAGTTGCTGAAAGAGAAGCTGAAAGAGCAGGAGGATTTCTATGAAGAATTGTTAAAGGAAAAGTCAAGAGTGGTACACGTGCCAGAGGAAGACACTACCGAGTTGAATGGGGTTGAATACTGGAAGAAGGAATATGAGAAGCTTTATGAACGCTGTGAGCAGCTGCAAAGTGAACTTGAGAATGTATTGCGAAATACTGCTGAGCAGGGTGAGAGGTTACGTGAACTAGAGTTGAAGGAACAACAGTGGCAAGAGAAAGAACGTCATCTAGTGGAAAAAGTAGTGCATGAGAAGTCCTCTGACGAGCCACAAGATTCAAATGATGCCACTTTAAATGAGCTTCAGTCTTTGGAAGGGGAAATGAAGAAACTGCATGAAATGTTGGAACTTGAGAAGAAGGAACGGGTATCACGTGAAGTAGAATTACAAGAATTACAGAAAAAACTGGAGTCAATGGAGAAGGAATACCGTAATCTTGAACAAGAACATCAGGAGACAGTGTCACTATTGCATCAGGGTGCTGCAAGCGTGGAGTCTGTTCTTCAAGAGAAGCAAGCTCGTATTGAGGAACTGGAACTAACTATTCAAAAAATGTCACAACAGTTTGCATCTTCTCAGGATCAATTACGTGTTAGTATGGAAACACTACAACAAAGACAGAAGGATTTGGATGAAGCCCAACAACGTCACCTGGAGCTTGAAGCAGCAAATCGTGAAGTAAACGCCGAACTTGTAGAACTTCGATGGGTTTTAGATGATAATCAGCGTGTGTGGAAACAACGATTTGAGCGTATGCAGAATGAGGGTGAACAACAGCAGCGAACTGCAGCAGAGGAGACAATCCAGGCACGTATGGAACACCAACGAGAGATAGATTCACTTCGTGCTGAGATTGATGGGCTGCGTGAAGAATTACAATCAGCACAAGCCGTCGCCGCAGCACTACCTCTTGCGGATGAAGGAAATCGACACCAACTGGAACACTTGCGACAGCAGTTGAATGATGCACTCAGTGAGAGTACACGTGTGAATGCAGAGATTGAGAAGCTACACCGCCAGTTAGCCGAGAAGGACCGTATTCTCCATAGCAAAGAACGGGAACAGGATTCACAGTATAGTAGTAATGATGAGAAGAATGAAGAAATAGATACTATGACCTCAGATGCACGCATTAACTCTCTTCTACAACGAAATGAAGCATTAGATGCAAAAGTACGTGAACTCATGAAAGATAAAGAGACACTACTTCAGGAAAAGGATACCTTGGAGTTCTCATTACAGAGTGCAACACGAATGACAGAGGTACGAGATCAAGCATGTCTTCGACAAGCAGATGAAGTAAAACGTGTACGAGCACAGATTGCCACCATGAAGGATGACATATCCCAACGAGTACAGTTATGTAATACACTTCGTCAGGAATTGCAAGAAGCACAACAACAAGTTTTAGATCTTGCAGCGGCTTATGAAGACTTACAAGCAACTACATTTGCTGAACATCGTCAAACACTTCAACAACAACATGTAGAAGCTCTTATAATAGCCAAAACAATGAGTATTCCACGGGTTATGCAGGAACTTATGCATGGGGCAATGGAAGCCTATCAGAGTTTGTTATTACGCTTTTCAGAAACTCAGAAGAAACTTCGTGCCCGTTGTGATGTGATTGAGCAAACAGCCACTGAAGCTATGATAGAAGGGGAACGTCAAAGTCAAGAGTTCCTTACAGCTATTGAAGATGCGAGGATTGAACAACAACAGTTAAAGGAGATTATTGAACGTCTTGAGGAAGAACTGAACACAGCGAAGATAACAGCAGAAGAGGCAGTGGCAGAAGTTATTTCAATTAAAGAAGAACAAAATGAAACATTACGCACCCTACGTGAAGAAAAGTTTGCGTTACAACGTGAACTACAAGCTGCAAAACTTGAACATGCTTCTCTTATCAATAAATTAGAACTTTTACGAGATGAGAATGTAAACGCCGCACGTCTCCTTGAACAGGAAAAGGAAACGGCAGCACAAGTGACGGCAGAACAAAAACGAGAGGTGAAACGATTACAAGATGCGTTGCGCGAAAAAACTCAAATATATCAAGAAACACAAACAACAATTGAAGAACAAGTGAAAGAGGCAACACAACGAGCGGAACAGTATGTAATGGAGCGAGATAAGGCGATGAATGAAATACATTCACTGCAGGTGAAACTAGATCGTGTATTACCACGTGTGGAACAATTGGAATCAGAGCGGGCCTTACGAGAAGCCGAGTTAATAGACACAAAACAACAACTCACCGCCTTAACACAGTGGAGTACCTCATCAGATGAAGTCGCCCAACGGCATATAGAGAATCTCAATGCCACTGTAAGTGATTTGCGTACGAAACTGGTGGCCCTACGTGGGGAGTGTGATGAACAACATGCGATTGTGGAAAAACAGAAACTGGAATTGGGAGCATCGGAAACAGAATTAAATAGATTACGTACACGCATGGCTCAACAAGAACGTGAGGCGCAACTCGCACAATCGCGATTGGGTGAATTGGAGTCTGCTTATGCACATGATACCGGGGATGCGGCGGCGAACTTGCGAGATGCACAGCGACGGGTGGCATCATTGGAACAACGCAATCATACTTTACAGGAAGAATTAGAAAGATCTCAACAACAATGTAATTTATTGCAGGAAAACTTCAGTAAAACAGAAGAGCAACTTCGGCGTCTAACAGAGGATTACCGCAACACAGATCAACAACAAAAACGACGTATTCAAGATTTAACAGAACGTAATTTATCATTAGAAAATGAATTAGAGAAATTACGAGAGACACATACAACTCTTGATACCGCTCATGAAAATTTACAACGTGAACTTCTAAATACTAAAAAAGATGGTGAACGTGCATTACACTGTGCAGAAGAGGCTAATCGACATAATAGACTTCTTCACAGGGAACTTCAAAATCTTGAACAATCTCATGCGGCAGAGTTACAAGCCGTTCGAGAGACATTATCTGCTGTACAGGTGGAACTCACACAGTGTAGACGTACTCTGGTGGAGGCAGAGGCTCGTGAACAGGAACAGAATCGCAAGGTATATGCTATCACAATGGAAAAGTCTCGATGTGAAGAGGAGTTGAATGGACTACGCCTACTGTTAGAGGATGAACAGCAATTAACATCTCGGGAACGATCTGAAAAACAGGAGAAAACAACACAAATGCGAGCGGAGTTGATACGATTGCAGAACGCCATGCAAGTTGCTCAAGGGGAATATAAAGTACTAGAGGCAAAATATGCACAACAAACAGAAAAGGCGGTAGCTATGCAAAATCAATTAGAGAGTTTATTGAGCCAACAGAGTACTGTTCAACGAGAAACTGCAGAAGAAAAAGAGAAGTTAACTGTAACAGTGAAGTCACTACGAAAAGAATGTATGGATTTACAATCAAGCCTTAATAGCGCAGAGGATGCATTGGAACGAGAAAAGCATGAGTATCAACAATACAGTGAATGTATGAGAAATCGAGTAGAGGCAAACCAATTGGCAGAGGAGACACTTCGTGCAGAAAACCAAGATCTACGCATAGATATATCTTCTCTCGAGAAAAAGTTAAGTATGGCTTCACAAAGCGTAAAAACTATGGAAACCCAATTGAAACGGCAGAATGTTGAACTGCTTGCCGTAACGGAGGAGATGGAGGAATACAAAACGAAATCCACTATTTATATGGAGGAACGGAATGAACTCCGTAAGACTCTACAGGATAAAACTATACAGTTAGAGCAGTTAACACGTACCATCACTGCCGATGTGGATGCCGTACTTGCAGAGAAGCGACAAGAAGAAATGGCAATGCGGGATGAATATGAAGAGATAATACGGCGTGAACAACAAGCCGCACAGGAGGCTCGTCAAGCCCGTGAACGTGCCCTCAACTCACTCGCACAAGAACAAAAGAAATCAGAGGAGCTGCAGGCAGAAAAGGATGAACTATACCTGCAATTACGTCAAGCACAATCGCAGGTGGCCTCTACACAGGCGGAGGTGCACAATGCAGTCGAACAGGCTGTAGAAGAGGTTGGTTTATCACAACATAAACTTTCACTTACTGCTGTTATGAATGAATTACTGCTGCGTCTCAGTCGATTTACACATTCTACAATTATATTAGAAGGTGAAATCATGCAATTTGAGGCATTTGAGGCGGCCTGTGAAGCCCATACAGTGGCATTGCGAGCTGTAACAGAAGCCGTGCGCTCATCCTCACAATCACAACAACAACAACAATTAAATCTAAGCAGCCGAAGTGCGGGTGGTAGTGTGCATACAACAACTACAACAACTACCACTACTAATACTACTGCTGCTACTAATGCGAATACGAATAATGCTACAAACATTGCTGATCCTACTACTCCTTCCTCACCCATTGCGGCACTTAATAGTAGCATTAACAGTAGTATTCGAACACCACATCATTCTCATCATCATCATCATCAACAGCAGCAACAACAACAACAACGACCTCCCCTTCACTGTGGCCCACTCATGCAAGAAATCATTAGCTCTGCCACTACGTATAATCATCGTCTAATGGAGCACAGACGCACTATTCGTCATGTGTTGGAAACAATGGAAGCGGCACTTATACACTGTGAACCAAAAACGGCTATGGAATCTGCACTTGCCAAAATTAAACTTTTCCTTACTTCAACCTTAAGTGAATTACACTTGCGTGTGGCCCGACAGACAGCACTATTGCAACAGATTGCAGACGGTGCTCTTGTAATGAGTGGACTGCAGGAAGCAGTGAAGATGATGCGTGAGGATGAGGAATTCGGACTGCGACCCTTTAATGAACTCTTACTTCCACTGACGATGTGTTCACCATCCTCTCCATCCTCTTCATCCCAGCGGCGAATGAGTGATGAGAGTGGTGCTGAAGGTGATGTTCTTTCTTCGTTGGTAAGACCGAGAACGGTGACTAGTGAAAGTAATAGTGGAGATAATATGACGGTTAATTCTTCAGTGAGACGGGAAGAGGTAAAACAGGAAAATGATCGTCTCTCACGTCTTGTTCAAAGTACCAGGAAACGTATGGGAACTGCAGCTGTTCTCTCTGGAAACCGACGAGAAGGTCAAAGAGATACTACTACCATTGATACTTTGTTGTCAACAAGAACTCTTCCTACTCCTTCTGCACAACGTGGAGGTAAAGATGCTGGGGGTATTAATTCTACTCCGACCCCTGGGGGTGATTTGAGAGATGCTGTGTAAGTGAGATTTTCTCTCTTGATCCTCTTTGGATTTCTTGTGATGATTGTATATATCTTCTTCATGTGTATGGTTTGCGAATGAAGAAGATATATTATTCTTTTACTTGTATTTGTTTAAAGAAAAAAAAAAAAAAAAAAAACCACACACGTTGTGTTTTCTTGCAGTTTTTATTCTTAATTTTATAATAATATTATTAATTATTATTATTATTAATATTATTGATGTTTGTTGTGTTCTCAAGGTTTGCGTTTAATCTGAAGAGATTAGTTTATGTGTGTAATGATGATCTCTTAAATATATTTCTCTTCTCTATCTATTCCTTGACTTACTTTCAACACCTATACATGTTGTGTGTATGATTTTGCAGCAACAGGTTCAGTAATGAGAGTTTGTGTTGGGCGCCTTCCACGCTTTTGATCTTTCTATAGACTCACTGGGATATTAGGGAGAGTGGTGAATGGGAAGGAAAACAAAGAGGAAGAAAGGGAGAGAAAGTGAAGAGAATATAACATCTGTGTGTGTATATATACACACAATAGTGTACTATAAAAAAAAAAAAAAAAACAATGGTTATATATATATATATATATATGCGTACATATACATACACTACATGCACATTTTGTACAAATGGTCTTGGTAATAAGGGTACTTTGCTGAAGTCTTTGCCTATATATATATATATATAGGTACACTTTTTCTTTTTTTTTCTTTCTTACCCTGATAATGACACATTAACAGTGCTGTTCTTGCTAATAATACTAATAATAATATTATTACTAGTAGTAGTATTATAACTAGTATTAATAGAGCAATTACTACCACTGTCTTTGTATTGCTGTGATGTTAGTGTGGTTATGTTATTATTATTATTATTACTATTTCACTAGACTCTTTTTTTTTGTAAAGAATAAGAAAAAGAACAATATACAATATGCATTAGTTTTTACCTTTATGGTATTCACCTATGCTGTAGTTATATGTATATATATGTATATATATATATATATATATATATATATATATATTCCTATTTCTCTCTTTCTCTCTCTATTTCTTCCTATCTATCTCTCTCTCTCTCTCTCTCTCTCTATACACAAAAGATGGCGATGCGTTCCTCTGACGTATTCTACGCCTACCGCCACACACCGCTGGTGCTGCGCAGCCGCCGACACGACAGTGGTGTGAACCAATACGGCCTCAAGCCCGTCAGCGCCTACGACTTCATCAATCCAACAAATCTCATCAACTTTGGCCGCGGCACCTCCTTCGACAATCTCGGCGTGCGCCGCTCCGGCCGCGGTGAGATCGACTCCGCCCCCTCCCTCGCCGGGTCGCCGGTGTTCACGCAGGCCAAACTCGCGGGCCTCAGCGGGGCGGAGGAGCAACTCAGCATGTGCCAGGCGGAGACGATGGCCCTGCGGGTGTGCATGGCGAAGGGCGGGCAGAGTGCGTGCGAGCGGGAGAGCCATGCACTCGACACCTGTCTCTCGCGGGTGGGGCATTTACGTCAGGCAATGCGATCCGCATGTGAGGAGTTTAATGATTGGTTTATTCAGAATGTCTCCGATAATCACACAAAGCCGTTTCAGCACAGACCACATGATTGGAGGCACTTCTACGCACAGGAGAAACTTGTGCGGGAGCGGCAACAACATGGACACGCGTATGGACGACGACCAAAGCAATTCTCATTTGGAGCAAGATATGTGAAGACAGAGGGATATGGTAAACGTCCACGTCTGCCGTATAATAAATAGAGATCTATATATATATATATATATATATATATATATATATATATATACGTGTGTATGTGTGTGTGTTGTCTTGCATTTTGTACTGTTTTCTCAGTCTCTCTCTGTGTGTATGTGTGTCTTCATTATTGTTGTTATTGTTATTGTGGATATTGCTTTATTGGTGGTGAAGGTGGTTTGATAGCAAAAAAAAAAAAAAAAAATAACTGGAGAGTGGATAGTGCGTGTAAAGATATATATATAAATATATATATATCTTTCTGGTTGTATCTTTCGGTGTTTGTATCTGTTGTTCGGAAAATAAACAAACTGAAGTTAAAATATTTCTTCTTATCCTTATGTAGACCTTAACCTCTTGTATTATTATTTTATTTTTCTCTCTTTTCAATCATTTTTTTTTTCTTTTTCGACCCTTTCTGTTTTTTTTTTTTTTTTAAAGTTCACCCACAGAAAAAAAAAAAAAAACAAGAACAAGAAATAAATTTAAATCTATAAAGGAGTAATTTCTTTCTTTTCTTGTAAAAATACCGTAATCCTTCAGGTTTTTTTCTTTCTTTGTTTTCTTTTACTCATTCATTCACACAGAAATATATATACTTGAGTCTACCTTTATCTATATATATATATATTGTGCCGAATGAGTACTGCAAGTACGAGTGACGATGCTGGCGGCATTGCCCGCAAACTCTTTGAATTATATGGAAAGAACGCAGCGTCCCTCAATCGACTCCTTCGACGCCGCATAGGCACTCGTGGGAATCGTTTTAATCACGATCACGCCGATACCTTCATGTATATTGAACGCAGTAAAAACAGTAATATCGTCGCCTACACAGCTAATATGATGGGGGCAACTACAAAAGCAAGCGTCTCTTCTGGTGCGGGTCAATCATGTTTGGTGGATCCTCACAATCCCGTTCATGCCTACTTCATTACACTCGACCCACCAACACTTGAGAGTAGACGAAAGAGGGGAATTACAAGTGATATTGATGATTTAACATTTATTCAACGGAAATTGGCCTACGGGTGTCATGCAAAACCATTACACAACGTAACGGGATTCACAACAGATGAGGCACAAACGTGGTTCAAATCTTTTGAGCCATTTGCGGTTTCTTACGTGGCCTTACCTAAAGTTCATGCCTTATTACTATTACTATCCCCACTCGCAGAGGGTGAGGGTGAAGAGAATGGACCAGAAGAAAAGGATACAACCGTCGCATTGGTAGCCGTTGTTGGTGGGAAATTAAGTGTCATGCAGCGTGTGTATGTGAACAGTACAGAACCAAAGCATTTCTATCAACTTCCCACTGTAAACTATATTGAGGTCTTCGGGGTCTCACTAGAGTCGGATGAACCAGTTTATGAGAAGATTGAAAAATGAGAACACTATATATATATGAGTTTGGGGGTGAGTGTGGGTGGGTGGGGTGAGTGGGGTGGCGTCTCTCTAGTATACGAAAGAAAACAAAAAAAAAAAAAAAAAAAAAAAAAAAAAAAAAAAAAAAAAAAGAAACAAGAAAACAAAAAAAAAAAATAAAAAGAAATTGGACGAGAGAGAGGCGAACAAAGGTGTAAAAAAGGATGACGAAAAAAAATAAATAATAAAGAAAGCAGAAACGTCATTATCAAGAAAAAAAAAGAAAAAAAAAGGGTTCATGCAGAAATCATTCATTGTTGTGAGTATTCTTCTGTGACTACTTCTTATTTGTGTGTATAATACATGCATGCATTGTGTCCTCTGCTGGTTTTACTCCATTATGTTGTTATTATGATTTCGTATTCTCTGCCTTTGATTTTATCTCTACTATTTATTCGTTTTTTTTTTGCCTTTTTTTTCTTTCCCTTGCTTATATACCTTTTTATTGGGATATACAATATATATATATATATATATATATATATATATATGTAGATATATATTTTTTGTTGTACTTGATTCACTGTATTGTTTTTATTAATTATGCTTATGATTTTCTTTTTTTTTTTTTTACTTTTGTTATTATTAATTATTGTTTTTAATTATTATTGATGCTTCTGATGACTATAGTTATATTCTCTTTCTTTTCTCTCTCTCTCTCTCATACTCTATTTTTTGTACAAATTAGATCAATTGCTAGAGAAAAGAGAAAAGAAAGTCCTAGAGAATGGCACCAAAGGGTGGTAGTGGATCCAACGGCAAACAACAACAACAGGGAGGAGGAGGAGGAAAAAAGGGTAAAAAGAACAACAACGACGATGACGATTTTGATGCCTTGCTTGCCAATGCGGTAAGAGAAACACAAGAGGCGAAGAATAAACAACAGAAGAACAACAAGAATAATAAGGGAGATCAACAACAACAACAACACGCACACAAAGGAGATGGATCAAAGAATAATCATTCAGGAACAGAAGAAGAGAATAACAAACCTAAAGTCATCAGTACTGCAGATCATCCAGAGAATCCATATCCACAAGTGGCGGAAGGGATGAAAAGGCAAACATGGCCGGAACCAACAGTTCCTGTGTGTGAACAATTCGCATATGGAAACTATCCTGCAGGTGAGATTCACGAACACCCGGGTGAAATAAATGCCTTTCGCTACAGTAGTGAAGAGAAACGGGCACTGGAGCGAGTAACAGAAGAACAGGTACAAGATTTACGGCATGCCGCAGAAGTACACCGACAAGTACGACGATATGCAAATAGTTTTATTAAACCTGGTATTTCTCTTATTTCCATGACCAATCGTATTGAACGTAAATTGGAGGAACTTATTGTAAAAGATGGTCTTGTACGTGGTCAGGCATTTCCAACAGGTTGTTCGCTCAATCACGTGGCGGCTCATTATACACCCAATACAGGTGATAATACCGTATTAACGTATGATGATGTGATGAAGGTAGACTTTGGTACTCAAATTCATGGCAGAATTATTGACTCTGCATGGACTGTAGCCTTTAATGAAGAGTATAATCCACTCTTAAATGCGGTAAAAGAGGCAACCTATGAAGGTGTAAAACAAGCTGGTATTGATGTACGTTTATGTGATGTGGGTGCGGCTATTCAAGAGGTGATGGAATCACATGAAGTGGAGATTAAAGGTAAAGTATATCCTGTAAAGAGTATTCGTAATCTTTCTGGTCATAATATCGGATCCTATATTATTCACAGTGGAAAATCTGTTCCTATTGTACGTGGAGGAGAAGCTGTGAAGATGGAAGAAGGGGAATTATTCGCTATTGAGACTTTTGGTTCTACTGGCCGTGGTCTGGTTCAGGAGGATATGGAGTGTTCACATTATATGATGGCACCAGGGGCTGAAAACATTCAAGTACGATCCGATAAAGCCCAACAATTATTACGGCATATTCATAAAACGTATGGAACCCTCGCATTTGCACGGAAATGGTTGGATCGTGATGGATTTGATAGACATTTATTAAATTTAAATCAATTGGTGGAGGCAGGGGCTGTGAATAAATATCCACCATTGTGTGATGTGAAGGGATGCTACACCGCCCAGTTTGAACACACCATTCTGCTGAAGCCAACCGCAAAGGAGATTCTCTCCAAGGGAGATGACTATTAAAAAGGGTCTGTGGGAGAGAAGGGTGGTGGTTAATGGCTCTGAAGAGGTGTGAGCACAAAGAAAAAAAAGAAAAAGAAAAAGAAAAATAAATAAATCGTTAACAGAAGGAACCATTTGAGTGAATTTTGTGAAGAGCGTTTCAGTTTAGTTTGTCTGCATACCTTTTTTTTCTTCTTTTTTTTTTCTTTTTCCTTTTTTATTTTCTGAGCTGCTTGGATTACAGTATATTATGAGCAATCTCCTAAGTTTCAATATACTGAATATTATATTTTTATGTATATGTGCAGGTATGAGTGTAAAGGTACATCATCATAATAAAATGCATCTCTCTACATGTGCACAGAAACATATCTATCTATCTCTCTATCTATCTAAATATTTATGAGGGAATGATGGCACGTTCGAAACGATATAAATACAAGGAGAGAGAAAAGCAAAGGAAAGAAGAAGAAGAAAAAGAACGACAGTGATATATATATATATATATATATATGAAGAATTCGAAACACTGTACTTATATTTCTATATATTTATTTATATATTTCCAAGTCTGTGTAATATACTTGGCACTGGTGGATAATAATAATAAAAAAAGGGGGAAAAGATTAAATACATTTCACTCTTCTTTCCATTCTTTCATAAACTCTCTTGCAAAACACTCCCTTTTTTTCTCTCTTTATTTCTTCTATAATATATTATTATTGTTATTATTATGAATTTGGTTTTTATTTTAATATTAAAATAAAAGAGAGAAATACGAAATAGTACAGTTCATATTAAAAGGAGACCAAAAAACACAAACACATAGAGGAGAGATTGCTAGACGGGGAATACAAGAAAATGCTCCGTTATTCTATTCTCCGATTCACAGTAGCTTCAACAAGTGCCTCTACTTCTTCTTCTTCTTCTTCTAATAGTAATAATAATAAATCCTCTTCTGGTTTCTCCTCTGCGGCTTTTACCGGCGATGATGGGGGAATGTATGCAGAGCGTGAGAAAATCCGCAGTCAACACACCGACACTGCAGGGAAGAGTCGTCCAACAATAGAAACATATCGCACCATGAGGGATGAGGAACTGGAAACTCTTCTTCAAACACGTGAACGACAAGTAAATGAACTTCGAAGAGTTTATGAGAGTTTTCACTATGAGGCCGATAAGTGTTTTCGCACAATGGTGTTTGATTATCATGAAAAGGCTTTACAGTTATCACAGGTACATGGAAAGATGCAACTTGGTTCTCTTCAGATAAGTCGTGAGGCACTTGTAAAGATGCGTGAACAGCAGGAGATGTACAGTAGAGATCATCGTCTGGCTCTCACGGTGTGTACGGTGTTTACATTTCTCTTTTGGATTTGGGTGCGGCGGCATTATGTACGCCGTGAGGAATTATTCGGTGAAGAGATGCAGTTGCGAGTAGCCGCTAATAGTCCTTCTGTTACGGGTATTGGGAGTTATGGAGAGAATATATTTGGATCCGCAAAGCGTAGTGCCCGAAATGTGGAGACTTCATGGGAACGGGAAGTGCGAGAAAGACGTGAACAGGAGGAGAAGGAAGAGAAGGAGAAGAAGAAGAAGTGAGGAATGGAGAGAGAGGGAGTGAGAGAAAGTGTGTGTGTATTTTATTTATTTTTTATTTATATTATTTATTTTTTTGTTTATTTATTTCTTTGCATTATATCATTATCATTATTATCATTTCCAATACATTTATCTACATGTATGGGGGAATATAGCGAACCTAATATATATATATATATATATATATATATATAGTTTACATGAGAAAGGGGGAGACTATCAATATTTCCCTCCATCTATTTATTTCTACTCTATCTCATTAACGCATTGGCTCTCTCTGGTTATTATTATTATTATTATTATTGTTTTTTCCTCTCTCCCTCTCTTTATATCTTTATATAATATAAAGAATAGCAACTGAAAGATGTCGCGCCATTACGACTTTGCCAGCAAAATGCTCTTCACACAAGAAGAGCTGCATGCCCGTATTCGCAGCACCGCTGAACGCATTGCCGCGGACTACAAAGATAAGAATCTAACTCATCTCGACAATCCCCTTGTGCTTGTATGTGTATTAAAAGGCAGTTTCATCTTTACTGCCGATCTTGCCCGTGCCTTATGTGATGCCGGTGTTCCTGTCCGTGTGGAGTTTATCTGCGTGGCCTCTTACGGTGCGGATGTGATGTCTTCTGGTCAAGTGCGGCTTCTCTTAGACACCCGGCACAGTGTGGAGCAGCGGCATGTGTTGTTGGTGGAGGATATTGTGGACAGTGCCCTCACACTGCAGTATCTCTACGCCCACTACACCGCGAGAGGCCCGGCGAGTCTGCGGAGTGTTGTCCTGTTGGATAAACCCACCGGCAGACGTGTTTCCTTTTCACCGGATTACGTGATCGCGACGGTGCCGAATGCGTTTGTGGTTGGATATGGATTAGACTACGATGAGTCCTACCGGGAGGTGCGGGATGTGGTGGTGCTGGACCCAAAGGTATACACCCATCGACTCCAGCAGAAG